GACGTCATAAACACCAAAGTTGATCGTGTTTATGACGTTGAATATCGACGTCATAAACACCAAAGTTGATCGTGTTTATGACGTCGAATATCGACGTCGTAAACACCAAAGTTGATCGTGTTTATGACGTCGAATATCGACGCCATAAACACCAAAGTTGATCGTGTTTATGACGTCGAATATCGACGTCGAATATCGACGTGTTTATGACGTCGAATATCGACGTCGTAAACACCAAAGTTGATCGTGTTTATGACGTCGAATATCGACGCCATAAACACCAAAGTTGATCGTGTTTATGACGTCGAATATCGACGCCATAAACACCAAAGTTGATCGTGTTTATGACGTCTTATATCGACGTCATAAACACCAAATTTGATCGTGTTTATGACGTGGATATTTGACGTCATAAACACCAAAGTTGATCGTGTTTATGACGTCGAATATCGACGTCATAAACACCAAAGTTGATCGTGTTTATGACGTCGAATATAGACGTCATAAACACCAAAGTTGATCGTGTTTATGACGTCGAATTTCGACGTCATAAACACCAAAGTTGATCGTGTTTATGACGTCGAATATCGACGTCATAAACACCAAAGTTGATCGTGTTTATGACGTCGAATATCGACGTCATAAACACCAAACTTGATCGTGTTTATGACGTCGAATATCGACGTCATAAACACCAAACTTGATCGTGTTTATGACGTCGAATATCGACGTCATGAACACCAAACTTGTTCGTCTTTATGACGCCGAATATCGACGTCATAAAGACCAAACTTGATCGTGTTTATGACGTCGAATATCGACGTCATAAACACCAAAGTTGATCGTGTTTATGACGTCGAATACCGACGTCATAAACAACAAAGTTGATCGTGTTTATGACGTCGAATATCGACGTCATAAACACCAAAGTTGATCGTGTTTATGACGTCGAATATCGACGTCATAAACACCAAAGTTGATCGTGTTTCTGCGCCGAATATCGACGTCATAAACACCAAAGTTGATCGTGTTTATGACGTCGAATATCGACGTCATAAACACCAAAGTTGATCGTGTTTATGACGTCGAATATCGACGTCATAAACACCTAAGTTGATCGTGTTTATGACGTCGAATATCGACGTCATAAACACCAAAGTTGATCGTGTTTATGACGTCGAATATCGACGTCATAAACACCAAAGTTGTTCGTGTTTATGACGTCGAATATCGACGTCATAAACATCAAAGTTGATCGTGTTTATGACGTCGAATATCGACGTCATAAACACCAAAGTTGTTCGTGTTTATGACGTCGCATATCGACGTCATAAACACCAAAGTTGATCGTGTTTATGACGTCGAATATCGACGTCATAAACACCAAAGTTGATCGTGTTTATGACGTCGAATATCGACGTCATAAACACCAAAGTTGTTCGTGTTTATGACGTCGAATATCGACGTCATTAACACCAAAGTTGATCGTGTTTATGACGTCGAATATCGACGTCATAAACACCAAAGTTGATCGTGTTTACGACGTCGAATATCGACGTCATAAACACCAAAGTTGAAGGTGTTTATGACGACGAATATCGACGTCATCAACACCAAAGCTGATCGTGTTTATGACGTCGTATATCGACGTCATAAACACCAAAGTTGATCGTGTTTATGACGTCGAATATCGACGTCATGAACACCAAAGTTGAACGTGTTTATGACGTCGAATATCGACGTCATAAACACCAAAGTTGATCGTGTTTATGACGTCGAATATCGACGTCATAAACACCTAAGTTGATCGTGTTTATGACGTCGAATATCGACGTCATAAACACAAAAGTTGATCGTGTTTATGACGTCGAATATCGACGTCATAAACACCAAAGTTGATCGTGTTTATGACGTCGAATATCGACGTCATAAACACCAAAGTTGATCGTGTTTATGACGTCGAATATCGACGTCATAAACACCAAAGTTGATCATGTTTATGACGTCGAATATCGACGTCATAAACACCAAACTTGTTCGTGTTTATGACGTCGAATATCGACGTCATAAACACCAAAGTTGATCGTGTTTATGACGCCGAATATCGACGTCATAAACACCAAATTTGTTCGTGTTTATGACGTCGAATATCGACGTCATAAACACCAAAGTTGTTCGTGTTTATGACGTCGAATATGGACGTCATAAACACCAAAGTTGTTCGTGTTTATGACGTCGAATATCGACGTCATAAACACCAAAGTTGAACGTGTTTATGACGTCGAATATCGACGTCATAAACACCAAAGTTGATCGTGTTTATGACGTCGAATGTCGACGTCATAAACACCAAAGTTGATCGTGTTTATGACGTCG